ACCTCACCAACCACACGGATCAGCATAGCTATCCGGCCCAAAATAAGGGCACGGACCTCACCAACCACATGGATCAGCATAGCTGTCCGGCCCAGAGTAAGGGTAAGGACCTCACCAACCACACGGATCAGCATAGCTGACAGGCCCAGAGTAAGGGCACGGACCTCACCAACAACACGGATCAGCATAGCTGGCCGGCCCAGAGTAAGGGCACAGACCTCACCAACGACACGGATCAGCATAACTCTCCGGCCCAGAGTAAGGGTACGGACCTCACCAGCCACACGGATCAGCATAGCTGTAATGCACAGAGTAAGCGCACGGACCTCACCAACCACACGGATCAGCATAGCTATCCGGCCCAAAATAAGGGCACGGACCTCACCAACCACATGGATCAGCATAGCTGTCAGGCCCAGAGTAAGGGCACGGACCTTACCAACCACACGGATCAGCATAGCTGTCTGGCCCACAGTAAGGGCACAGACCTCACCAACCACACGGATCAGCATAGCTGTCCGGCCAACAGGAAGCGCACGGACCTCACCAACCACACGGATCAGCATAGCTGTCCGGACCACAGTAAGCGCACGAACCTCACCAACCACACGGATCAGCATAGCTGTCCGGCCCACAGTAAGGGCACGGACCTCACAAACCACACGGATCAGCATAGCTGTTCGGCCCACAGGAAGCGCACGGACCTCACCAACCACACGGATCAGCATAGCTATCCGGCCCAGAAATAAGGGCACGGACCTCACCAACCACACGGATCAGCATAGCTGTCCGCCCACAGTAAGGCGGACCTCACCAACCACATGGATCAGCATAGCTGTCAGGCCCAGAGTAAGGGCACGGACCTCACCAACCACACGGATCAGCATAGCTGTCCGGCCCAGAGTAAGGGTACGGACCTCACCAACAACACAGATCAGCATAGCTCTCCGGCCGAGAGAAAGGGCACGGACCTCACCAACAACACGGATCAGCATAGCTGTCCGGCCCAGAGTAAGGGCACAGACCTCACCAACGACACGGATCAGCATAGCTGTCCGGTCCACAGTAAGGGCACGGACCTCACCAACCACACGGATCAGCATAGCTATCCGGCCTAAAATAAGGGCACGGACCTCACCAACCACACGGATCAGCATAGCTGTCTGGCCCAGAGTAAGCGCACGAACCTCACCAACCACACGGATCAGCATAGCTGTCCGGCCCACAGTAAGGGCACGGACCTCACAAACCACACGGATCAGCATAGCTGTCCGGCCCACAGGAAGCGCACGGACCTCACCAACCACACGGATCAGCATAGCTATCCGGCCCAAAATAAGGGTACGGACCTCACCAACAACACAGATCAGCATAGCTGGCCGGCCCAGAGTAAGGGCACAGACCTCACCAACGACATGGATCAGCATAACTCTCCGGCCCAGAGTAAGGGTACGGACCTCACCAGCCACACGGATCAGCATAGCTGTAATGCACAGAGTAAGCGCACGGACCTCACCAACCACACGGATCAGCATAGCTATCCGGCCCAAAATAAGGGCACGGACCTCACCAACCACACGGATCAGCATAGCTGTCCGGCCCAGAGTAAGGGTACGGACCTCACCAACCACATGGATCAGCATAGCTGTCAGGCCCAGAGTAAGGGCACGGACCTCACCTAAAACCACGGATCAGCATAGCTGTCCGGCCCAGAGTAAGGGTACGGACCTCACCAACCACACGGATCAGCATAGCTGTCTTGCCCAGACTAAGGGTACGGACCTCACCAACCACACGGATCAGCATAGCTGTAATGCACAGAGTAAGCGCACGGACCTCACCAACCACACGGATCAGCATAGCTATCCGGCCCAAAATAAGGGCACAGACCTCACCAACCACACGGATCAGCATAGCTGTCCGGCCCAGAGTAAGGGTACGGACCTCACCAACCACATGGATCAGCATAGCTGTCAGGCCCAGAGTAAGGGCACGGACCTTACCAACCACACGGATCAGCATAGCTGTCCGGCCCAGAGTAAGGGCACGGACCTCACCAACCACACGGATCAGCATAGCTGTCTTGCCCAGAGTAAGGGTACGGACTTCACAAACCACACGGATCAGCATAGCTGTAATGCACAGAGTAAGCGCACGGACCTCACTAACCACACGGATCAGCATAGCTGTCCGGCCCATAGTAAGGGTACGGACCTCACCAACAACACAGATCAGCATAGCTCTCCGGCTGAGAGAAAGGGCACGGACCTCACCAACCACACGGATCAGCATAGCTGGCCGGCCGAGAGTAAGGGCACAGACCTCACCAACCACACTGATCAGCATAACTCTCCGGCCCAGAGTAAGGGTACGGACCTCACCAACCACACGGATCAGCATAGCTGTCTTGCCCAGAGTAAGGGTACGGACTTCACAAACCACACGGATCAGCATAGCTGTAATGCACAGAGTAAGCGCACGGACCTCACTAACCACACGGATCAGCATAGCTGTCCGGCCCATAGTAAGGGTACGGACCTCACCAACAACACAGATCAGCATAGCTCTCCGGCTGAGAGAAAGGGCACGGACCTCACCAACCACACGGATCAGCATAGCTGGCCGGCCGAGAGTAAGGGCACAGACCTCACCAACCACACTGATCAGCATAGCTCTCCGGCCCAGAGTAAGGGTACGGACCTCACCAACCACACGGATCAGCACAGCTGTAATGCACAGAGTAAGCGCACGGACCTCACCAACCACACAGATCAGCATAGCTGTCCTGCCCAGAGTAAGGGTACGGACCTCACCAACCACACAGATCAGCATAACTGTCTGGCCGAGAGTCAGGGCACGGACCTCACCAACCACAAAGATCAGCATAGCTGTCTGGCCCAGAGTAAGGATACGGACCTCACCAACCACACGGATCAGCATAGCTGTCTGGCCCACAGTAAGGGCACGGACCTCACCAACCACACGGATCAGCATAGCTGTCCGGCCCAGAGTAAGGGCACGGACCTCACCAACCACACGGATCAGCATAGCTGTCAGGCCCACAGTAAGGGCACGGACCTCACCAACCACACGGATCAGCATAGCTGTCCGGCCCAGACTAAAGACACGAACCTCACTAGCCACATGGACCTTACCAGCCGCACAGATAAGCCTGGATGTACAGTCAGATTATTACTCACCGGCTACCCTTTAGCCTATAACTTTGCAGCTTTTGGGGTCCTCTTTCCAGAAGCCATGCCACAGTTATTAGATCAGGAAGAATTTGAGGCAGAAATCCAGCTGACACAGTCTCCGTTATTCCAGGCTAAACTACCGCAAACGTTCTTTCCAGCCAAGATCTTGAAGGACCTGAACGACAGGATCATTTCCCTAAAATACCTTGATCACCCAGGCCGTATTGCTTTGCAAAGGAAGGACTCTCACGCAACAGATACCAGAGACCTGCCATTATCATCTCCCTCACTAGACGAAAGCTTTCAGGGCTTCGCAGTCGAAGTTACGGAGCGCATCTTGATTAAAGAAAACATTGCGCACTGTCTGGTCGCAGATTCGGAGCAGTCCTGGGATTTGGATTGTTGTGGATGATGCGGCCGTGGTGTTTGAACGAAAATGTCTCAACCAGGTGTGGCCATCCTGGGCGGCGGTGGTGGTATCTCCAGGTCGACCTGACCTGGCCCTGTCATTCACACTCCCAGTACTTTGTATCGGGTCCATAGGGTTCAGATGGTCTGTCTGGACATGCTGAAGTGCCTTACTGCATCATGCTGCGATGTCCGTCCTTGTAAACGGCCGATGGCGTTGAACTTCTGTCAGTCTTTTCATTCTCTTGTCGTCTATAGTGGCTTAAAGCAATGCACGTGGAATACCATTGATGTGGCTTTTTAAAGCCTACAGTCGTAGGCTTCAGCTCAGGGTGGTACACAATTTCATGATACTTGTGCATTTCATGTAGGGTGCGTTTTAGCGATTCACTACAAACGTGAGTGTAACGTTACGTTTTTGTTAAAGGTCACATGCAACGTAAAACACAACTTTGCAGATTCCGATACCTTTCGGTATGGACATACCGAAACAAATCGTCAGAAATGCAAATTCAACTTATAAAGTTGAAAAATAACGCGATGAATAAAAACGCGTGAAATCGGAGTTCAAACGTTTCACTAATTTTCCCCAGACTTTTCTGGGGAAAACGGGTTTCAAAAGCTGGGCTGCGCTCATAGCACGTGCGTAAGTAAATAGGTTCGCGCAGCTTGGAAGCGGGTTGTCGGGTGAATACTCGGTGAAGGCTTTGGTGTCAGCTATTTTTCTAATGTTTTGTTGATATCTCACAGCGCCGAGCTTTTATATGTTATGACAGTAAATTAACTGTTTATATAATTTCATTTGTCTATTTCACCACACGCTCTTCTTACCGAGACACTTTCTCAGTTCGATACTTAAAAGCAATGTCATTATTTAGCTGACAGAATTTCTAACTGTGAAATAGATATGTCGTTGTCACAGACAAAACTCAATGTCTTGTTTTATTGACACCTGTGTGATTGCCTGCCTGTCTACTAATGACAATATTCAATACACAGCTGCGATCACTGACCACATGCAATTTGAACTTAACACCAATCAGGGCTATACACCATAAACACAATGCATTGATTTATGGCTCGAAGTTCGGGTCTGTGTCACATTATGTAATTACACAGACAGGCAGGTGTGATACTTGAACACATGACATGTTATGATGTCTGTTGATTGCAAAATGTTATACACAAAAATGAGCATGTATTTACAATTAAACATTTCTTTTTTCAAACGTTTTGTTGTCAGCAACTATTCAGCATGGATTGGTTTGTGTCAAATATTTTCCTAAAATTCAAATTTGTCCTATGTGAAGTTTCTTCTTTTGAAAGAGTATATATCTTTGAATCCAGAAGGAGCCATCTTGAGATGTCCCTCTGTTAAAACACAACAAAGTCTGTGTGTACAATAATAATTCTGTTTATTCCCTTCAGTTGTAGGCGACGAGGGAAGAAGTCCAGCACGACACCTGCTGGGGTTGAGGGGAGATAACTCAGTCTGACTGGGATCATGCCACCTGCAGCGGCTCCTGCCTCACATATACTCAGGGACAGAAGTAAAGGAACATAATGGCAGAACACTGTGGTTTGATAAAACCATTTACGCTTAAATGATGTTTCACTACAACAGAAACATTCCCTTATTATTTAGCATCAGTATAAATATCTCAGCTCATGTCAAATAATGCATCATGAGGTATTGTATAGCACCTGCCGGAGAAGTGCTATATTCTGAAGGATCAACCAGGAATGTCTGCTATTGCTGGGAGTCGTAGCATCTCATCTGTGTGTGTGTGTGTGTGTGTGCGTCGTGTATGGAAAGAATGTTCTCTATTGCTGACCTCCTAGTATCTCTGATACCAGATACTGATGGTGCGTGTATGTATACATTTGAATGGATAGAATGTTCTATTGCTGACAATGTGAAGCCCATTCCTGGTGTTCCCCGCCGTGATATTGCTGGAATATTGCTAAAAGCGGTGTAAAACTAAACTCACTCACTCTATTGCTGGCAAAGCTGTTGTGTCTCCGATACCAGGATACAGGTGAATGTGTGCGTGCGTGTTGGTGCATGTGTATTCATATGAATGGATACAATGTTCTCTATTGCTGACAAAACTGTTGTGTCCCTAAAACCAGACACACTGTGTGTGTGTGTGTGTGAGTGAGGGAGTGATAAGATTGTGATCTATTGCTTGCAATGCTGTATTGAATAACTGATTCACCTAATAAATTCTGTCTTGCCAAATTTTGAAGAATGCAACCCCAAACCCCAGTGTAACTAGTTACTATGCTCTCCATTAACTATGCTGTCCATGGCCAGTTTCAGATACATCTCATAAATCTCTTTTTACATTCTTAATTCAAATCTATTCATCAATGTTCATAAAGCCTGAGGAATTTTTCATTTTCAATGGAAGAAATCCAATTTACTCTTAGTTATTGGAGTTTAAAGAGTTCTTGCAGAGTGACTTTCTGTTTATATATTTCAGACAGCGCTACAATTAATACTGGATTGGATTATCACAACAATATCCAGCATGCTATAAACACAGTTGACAAGTGGAATGAGGATAGAGTGGGCTGAGTGTAGGAGGCAGGGGCGCCGCTTGGGGGCCATAAAGACAGGTGGGCAGTGTGACGGAGGAGGAAGGTGGCGTGGACATGACCCCACACAGATCCTGGGTTATCTCGACATGGATAACAACAGTTTAGGGTTGGGCACAAGCCCACCCAATATAAGGAATAGCTTCATGTATATATACACATTGTTGACTTTCGTACATGGCCGAGAAGCATTAACCTTCTCCGCCCACCCTTCCACAGAAACAAAGCAGTATGTACAACAGTAGGAGCTCGTCAGAAAACAACAGGGGGGGGTGGCGTTGACTGGAGGGGGTGGCATCACAGCGACAGTCCAGTCAGAACACCAAGTCACGTGAAACTGACAGAGATGTGACAATGTCCGACTCTGGCAGAAACGATCATGACAATGTAGTACAGCGGCAGACAGTATTGTGACGAAGTCAAATATTTACATTATGTGACAATGCCATATATAAACAGATAAAAATATGACAATGTTGTATATCAACAGTCAGACCCATGTCATACACAGACTGCCTTAATGTGATGATGTCATACGAACCGTCTAAAACCCTTGTCAGATATTGACTAGCACAAATATGACAATGTGACACGCTGACAGACGAAAATATGACAATGTTAAATATCAACAGTCAAAAATATGTCACATACTGACAGGTATAAATATGAAAATGTCATATATCGACAAACAACGTGACAAAGTCCAGACATACCAAAGCAACTAAAATATACTTCTCACCATTTGATAAGGACACTCAGATATTTTACGCAAACATGATAACAAGATCTGTGTCTGAACTGTGTGATAGAAGTCTAATCAACCTGAAAATAGCTACACACTTCAGTTTGCGGACAATCGTGAATACAGTGTTTGCCATGATGTAGAAAACCTGCGTATTTGACGCACAACATATCTCAAATACGCAGTGAATATAGAAGCCTGAGTCATTGTTGACATAATGCTACTGGGCCCTTACTTCAGATAATCTAAACTTGTAATTTGCTGTTGTTTGAAACTTAATAGTTTAATGTTTGCCAGGTAACTACAGGGAGACATGATGACTCCTAAATGTTTATGCCGAGGGCAAACACTGTAAATACTATTTGCGTGACAACATACTGGAGCAGGTTGTCAGGCCCCATTTGGAAACACCCGATCCTTATCAAGCGTTGAGCAGTACATTCAGATAAAGATACTATTCTGTAAAACAAGACACACAAGATGTCCACACGCAACATTTCATTAACACAGTAAGTACAACATAGGTTGTCTCCCCACAACTGGCAAAGTCTTCAGTTGGCAATGACAGCAGTTTCCTACTTCTTGTGACCTTGACATTCAACATGAACTTTGACTCCTCCAATGAGGAGGAAATGTTTCAGCTTTCAAACCATTCCTTATTTCTGTTTGTCCCGTATTATTTTCACCTTATTCTGAACTCAAATCAAACCATACTATGTAAAAATGGCATTCGGTGGTCATTCTTATTGAGAAGCTCTCATGTATTTCAGACAAAATGTTCTTTTACCACAGAAACTGATCGAAAACATTTCTTTTTGTTCATAATCATGTTCCTGAACTGACAATAAAACAAGATGAAATATTTCCATAATGAGTGAGTTGGGTTTAACGCCGCTTGTAGCAATATCCCGGCTGGGGACACCAGGAATGGGCTTCACACATTGTACCCATGCCGTTCCATAATGAAGAAAAATGCAAATTTCTTTCTTGTCATCAGTAGTTTTTGCTGCTTACCACCACAATCAGCAATATTCCAGCTATGTGACAGTTATCTGATCTAGACAGTGGGATCTCTATTGGGACACGAAGTCAGCAAGTAGGACCACCCGATCCCAATAGTCGTCTCTTATGACAAGCATGGGTTTCTGATCACCAATTCTAACCACTGTCAGTCAATCAGTTATAGGGAATGAATATCACACTCTGTGCAAATCGGAATTTAAAAATTAGTAATTTTACAATTAAAAGTCTTCATTATCTCAGTAAATGAATAAGCACGTTTTACCTCCAAAGAAAGTAAGTTTGAATAATATACTTGTAAAAAATCAACAAGGGGTTGACCATTTTTGGGGGAAGAGGGGAGAGAGGGAGAGGAGATTTTTGTTTGGGTATTCGCTTCAATGATTCAAATGACATCTTTTTGTTCTTTTAGCAAGTCATGTTCACTTGGAATAATGGGAAAAGATTATTTTTTCTAAAAGTTTAGAGGCTCCCTCTTAAGTGTCAACCAGCCAGTTCCAGATTTCCCTGCAGTATCCTAAACAGCATCAGACATGTTCCTGTTGACCTACTGATCATCATTGACTCGCACAGTGTCATACAACCCCATCAGTGACTCGCACAATGTCATACAACTACGTCATCACTTCTACATAACTTCAAGCATATTTTGATAATCGTTTTTCATAAACTCACTCACAAATTGTAAAATGAAATGCCCATATCATTGCAACTGAAATGCATGTTTTTAAGACTTTTAGAGTCTTGAATCGATTTTGAAACAATGCCCAGACAATGTCAGCGTGAAAGCCAAGAAAATGTCCAGGCAGGAGAGCTAACTTTAGGCCAGGTTCAACTCAATGTCTTGTGGGTGAGTGAAGGAGTGCCCCAGAATCTTTGGTACTCAAAGACTGGCACTTGAGTTGGGATCCTTCTTTAACCCTGGGCTCACAGGGGATCCTTCTTTAACCCTGGGCTCACAGGGGATCCTTCTTTAACCCTGGGCTCACAGGGGATCCTTCTTTAACCCTGGGCTCACAGGGGATCCTTCTTTAACCCTGGGCTCACAGGGGATCCTTCTTTAACCCTGGGCTCACAGGGGATCCTTCTTTAACACTTGCAATAGTACTGGTGTTACAATGGTGGACCTTCTGCAACCCAAACCAACAGAGATTTCTACTGCAAACATCAACCAAAGAGATTTCTAATGCAACCCTGGACCAACCGAGAGTTCAACTCCAACCCCAGACCTACACAGAGCTCTACTTCAGCCATGGACCAACAGAGATTTCTAATGCAACCCTGGACCAACAGGATTTCTACAGCAAACCCTACACCTATTTAGGATAGTGTTGGTAACCTACAGTAACCTCACTCTTCACGATACTGAAGACAGTTCTTCCAGTCTGCACTGAATGGAATGGTAGACTTATAAAATACATACAAACAAAAGTACTGAACTTACAGATAAAGCACACGCATGGATCTATCACTGAATTAAAAACAACAAAAACTAAAACAGTTAAACATGAAAATATAATTCCTATTTGCTTCTTTGTGTTGAGTGATGGCCATGCATCACGGGACATTTACAGGACACTGGCCACTTGTCAACACAAACACCCCACACTGCTGTCACAGGTCAACTACAATCAGCTAGTGGAGTGCCTGGCAGTAACTTAGTTCAGTCACAGTGAACCTTTGCTTAGAGTCCGTTTAAGTTCAGTTAAAGAGGGATTCACTTTGGAGTCAACTTAATTTCAGTTTAAGAGGGACTTACTTTGGAGTTCACTTAATTTCAGTTTAAGAGGCATTTACTTCAGAGTCAACTTAAGTTCAGTTTAAGAGGGGTTTACTTTGGAGTCAACTATTACACTAGAGCTCCATTAAAGGGGTACTCAATTGGCATCCATGTAAGTATAGTTAAAGAGGAACTTAAGGGATCCATTTAAGTTTGCTGCTTGTGTTTCTGTCTCCCAAACACCCAAAGTTCAATTGTGACCCTGATCTTTTTATAAAAATATAACATCATCTAAATGAGTCAGAAAGTCTGTAAGAAACACCCCCTTTAAGATGAGAGCTTCAATATGATTTGCTGACATATGGCACATGATGAGACGACTACACACAAGATACTTACACATATTTATCAAAATAAAATGAAATCAGCCAAGTTTTTGATTGACAGCATGTGCTTACAAAACCTTGTTATGAGGCCTGATTCTCTTACCATTTCATCACGGCCAGGAGCATCTCGTCACCGGGCAATGGAAGGAAATACACTAACGTGGCAAGGCTAATCTTGCCAAATATCAGCCCAATCCAGACTCTCTCACTGACCACTCCCCTCTCAGCAAAAATACCCAAACAATTGACTGTGTCGTTCGGTCACAAAATCAAGAATGGAATAAAACAGCAAATAGTAAAAAATCAAATCACAAATATTTAAAAATTAAAACTATGAAAGCAATAATTTATCCTATGTTGGCTTGTGGATAAACTGGATCGAAACAAACGAACTTGATACACATTCATTACACCCTGTTCAACATCATCCACTGACGAACATAGGCAGCAAACAACTGCGCAATTCCGGAGTCTTATAGAACAATTAAATATATGTAAATATATGTATATATAAAACACCAGCCAGTACAAGCTGGGAGAGTTCGGACACTGGTACAGGTATGGCCACATGTGGTAGTCACAGTGAATCAAATGGTCTGTCTTCCCTATATAAAGAGAGTTGAATCTGAATTGTCTCGCTTCAGTAGTGTTGTATCTCAGTTGTCTCCCTTCAGTGGGGTTAATCAGAGTTGTCTCCCTTAGGTAACAAGGTCATTGGCAAAACAGAACGAAGTATTTTCCAGAAATAATAAAATATAGGTAAAAATCAGTTCTTGAGCTGGGCTGAGCGAGTGAGTTTGCCACTGACATGTCGTTTTAAACAGTTGATTCTTATTAGAGGAATGTCAACCTTAGAAAGTCATTGTTTTTAAGCGCAAGTTCAGAGACCTAGGGGGCGGTGGGGTAGCCTAGTGGTTAAAGCGTCCGCTCGTCCCGCCGAAGACCTGGGTTCGAATCCCCACATGGGCTCAATGTGTGAAGCCTATTTCTGGTGTCCCCCGCCATGATATTGCTGGAATATTGCTAAAAGCGGCATAAAATCATACTCACTCACTCACTCAGAAACCTAGTTAAAACTATTATTCCACTACTTCCTGCTAGCTCTGCATGATGAGAACCAAATGTCATTTTCTGTCAGTTTTATTCATTACCATGAAATACTGAGAACCGGCTCCGAACTCCTGTCCTAAAATACTTTCTAGTTTAGGAGACTGCCATTAGCAGAATTAGCAGCATCAGGCTTGCAGACCAGCATGAATTTCAAAAGCTACAAAGGTTATAGAAGTCACGTCTACCACTATGATGAAAGCCAGCAACACTGGTTTATTTGGTATGCTTGGCTTACATACCAAGCATATTCAAAAAGAGACGGAGCTGGCCTCAAACCCATGATTATCACAGTTTCTGATTATACTGAGTTTGGTTTTACGCCGCTATTAGCAATATTCCAGCAACATCACTTCGGGGGACACCAGAAATGGGCTTAACACATTGTACCTATTTGGGGATTCAAACCCGGGTCTTCGGCGTGACAAGCCAACGCTTTAACCATTAGGCTACCCCACCGCCCCTTCTGATTATAAAGGCCTATTTTGTTTTAGTTGGTTTACAGATTATTGAAAATAATTCAGTTTGGTAAGATAAAAACCCAAACACCCCAAACCAAATCTAACACAAGACACGACATCAGGATGGAGGTTGAGTTACTTTTCTTCACAGCCAACACAGTAATTTCATTTGAATAATGTCAAAGTCATTCCATCTCTTAAGAAACAAGTGTTGATTGTAATGTTGTCACGTTCAGCCACTGCAAAAGATTACCAATAAAATTTTCATTCCAATTCAAAAGCTTATGGGCTTGCAGCAATGAAAATATTATTTAAAATCTGGATGACATTATTTTCCTTTTCTCAAATATTTTCTCTTTATTTTGGGGAATAGGACGTGTAAACCAAACAAAAAGCGTGAAAAGGTGTGGAATCTACACCCAATACTTCAACTCAATATTCAACTCTCTTTGTTCTTACTTGTCAGCATGTTTACATTTACCCACTGAGTAGCCTTGGTTGTCTGAAGTGACAAGATTCATGATTACCAATGATCAATAACAAACAGTTGTTTCTGGAAAGTATAATCTTCATGCACTGCAATGAGCAAAGACAATTAAATTTTACCTTTGTTGCCTAAAACCATTATCCAAAAAAGCATAAATTATGAGAGGCTGACTGAGTTTGGTTTTATGCCGCTTGTAGCAATATTCCAGCAACATCACGGCGGGGGACACCAGAAATGGGCTTCACATATTGTACCCATGTGGGGATTCGAACCCGGGTCTTCGGCGTGACGAGCCAACGCTTTAACCACTAGGCTACCCCACCGCCCCAATTATGAGAAAAGAGACTATTGCAAGCTGTTTGTTTTGTTTGTAAGAGATAACAATGTGCTTCTGTTTGGACCCACAAAACAGTATGTACACAAACATCTTGAATGTCCATTGACAGTTAAAAAATGTTAATAAAACCTGAGGACAATAATCTTTTCCCATTTTTGCGGAAAAACTTGTTTTTTAAAAATATTATCAAACACATATGGCGAAGCACTTAAAAAACATCAATCTTGTCACATCAACAATCAAGACATTGTAACAGAGATGCATGGCTTTGGACCAGTCTTTCAACACTGTAAACACAAAGAATCTCCCTGCCGCAGTCACAGCTTACAATATCCACTGCTTCAGATCATACAAGTCATCAGTTGCCTTGACCAGGGACAGATCTCGGACATAGCAACAACTTACATTATTACCCTTAAGATAAATTTGTTGAATTCTGATTGGTTGATAGCCAAAGCATACCAAACCATGTAGGTGGATTTGCCAGGGTGTACGAACCGTACACCACGTCAAATCTGTCATGTGACACACTACATGGGTTGTACGAATAACCTTGACCTTAGATGGAATGTGGCTTTGAAATTTCAGAGTTGGCGTATACAATTATGAGTATAAACAGAGTAATAAAATTGTTGTCATGATTTCTTATTTGTTTGTGTCAATAAATGTATCAAAAAATAAAATGCTTCTGTATTTCACTTGTCGTTTAACAAAACCTCAAATTCGATAATGTTTATCATAAACTAAGCCATCTCGAGTTATCTCCCTTTATGACAGTTCAGGAAATATCATGGCGAAACGTTTTGCGTCTCATTCTGCCGATGATTGAATGCTGTTGTTTAAAGCTAAATAAAAATATCTTAAGAAGGGTAATAAATTAGATCAAGCGGTGTTTTGAAAGGGTGTTTGGGGACTGTCTGACCCTTGTAAATTATATTTACAGAATTTACAAAGGGTCTTACAGTGCCGTACACCCTTTCAAAACACTAAATAACTAATAATATACACAGTGAGGAGATCAACAGCCCCAATCATGGGCAAATGTCATTGGAGTGGGTGAGTTTAGTTTTGAGCCACTTTTGGCAATGTTCCAGCAATATCCGCGGCGGGGACACCAGAAATGGGCTTCACACATTGTACCCATGTGGGGAATTGAACCCGGGTCTTTGGCGTGACGAGTGAACGCTTTAACCACTGGGCTACCCCATCACCCCAAATGTCATTGCAACACTTTATTGACGTAATAGCTTACGGGACACAATTATATCTCCATATTTAAACTAAGGCTGAGTATGAATCCACACGATATGAACTTTAAATGCAGATACTGGTTAAAATAATAATTATGAATTTTTAAAGAGAAACTTAATTTTTAAAATAGAAATAATACTCGACCAGTGGATGAAAGACAAGTAGTAGAGTGACATACTTCCATGGGTTATTGTTTACCTTACCGGCAGCTGCTGGGATCAGACTCTGCTGTGAGTCAGGACAGCGGTCACTTATTCTATATATATTCACTATTCTGAAATAGGGCACCTCATAAACTGGTCATATTGTAGGTTTTAAAACAGCTGCTGTGACTGTGACAGATACCCTAGGTTTACCTACAGCTGCTGTGACAGATACCCTAGGTTTACCTACAGCTGCTGTGACAGATACCCTAGGTTTACCTACAGCTGCTGTGACAGATACCCTAGGTTTACCTACAGCTGCTGTGACAGATACCCTAGGTTTACCTACAGCTGCTGTGACAGATACCCTAGGTTTACCTACAGCTGCTGTGACTGTGACAGATACCCTAGGTTTACCTACAGCTGCTGTGACAGATACCCTAGGTTTACCTACAGCTGCTGTGACAGATACCCTAGGTTTACCTACAGCTGCTGTGACAGATACCCTAGGTTTACCTACAGCTGCAGATACCCTAGGTTTGACTGTGACAGATACCCTAGGTTTACCTACAGCTGCTGTGACAGATACCCTAGGTTTACCTACAGCTGCTGTGACTGTGACAGATACCCTAGGTTTACCTACAGCTGCTGTGACAGATACCCTAGGTTTACCTACAGCTGCTGTGACAGATACCCTAGGTTTACCTACAGCTGCTGTGACTGTGACAGATACCCTAGGTTTACCTACAGCTGCTGTGACAGATACCCTAGGTTTACCTACAGCTGCAGTGAGTGTGACAGATACCCTAGGTTTACCTACAGCTGCTGTGACAGATACCCTAGGTTTACCTACAGCTGCTGTGATGATACCCTAGGTTTACCTACAGCTGCTGTGACTGTGACAGGGAGATGCCAATGACTTAGTTATTCATGCAGGAGAGCAGATCATGACACAACCGGGAGTACTGGAGACTGTCCCCGGACAGCTTCCGCACCTGCACACCCGGAACGTCCCCGTCACAAATCTCCAGCTCCACCTGCACGTCAGCGTTCTGCAGACGGAACAAGTTTTGCGAGCAGTGATAGTCCACATCCGGACATCGAGTATCTAACATGTTTTTGATGGCAGAAAATACATCGTCCATAGATTTGTGCAGGTCCCGGTTGATGTTGATGACGACTTTGGAAGAGTCTAAACAACTGGGCGATGGGTTGGTGAAATAGCAGCCATTGATAGGCGACGACACTACATTCTCCTGGCTATGGGAGTGGGTGATGTGGGCGGCCTTGTGTTGGGGGCGAGAGATCAAGGACCGTCCTCGACTGGAGGTCGGTCTGGTCGAAGCTGTGACCTCGAGGTATAGAGTCTGTGTTAATGAGGGGTGTGTTTTGAAGGGAGTACTGGAAGAAGGGGTCACGGGCATCATGGAGGGTGTGATGGCGCCGGAACCGTGACTGGTTGCTTCGGTGGAGTCGAGAGCTGTTGAGGATGAACTGGGAGTTACACAAGTTGACCATGCCCATCTCCGCAGCGGCATCATCTGGTGGGAACAATGGCGGCTGGATGCCAGCCAGGTTTGTATTTACATAGTTATTAAAAAGATACATGGGAAAATTGGGGGCACTGGGTTGCCGGGGGTGATGACCTGTTTGAATGGGGTCGGAGGTCATAGTTGACTGCAGCGGACTGGCTCCGACCCCTGACGACACTCCCGCGAGGCCCCGGAAGCCACAGTCTTTGGCACATTCGTTCTATCTAATACACGCTCATCGTCTTCGTTCGTCACATCGGTCACATGACCTTGTGTATCAGTGATGCTGATCTGCGGTTTCCCCGCAAACTGTCTATGTCTCACTTCCTGTGCATTTTTTTCGCTGCTTGCTGTTGTATCTACAAACATGTCCTCTTCGTCTGTCCTCATGGGTTCGGCGGCGTCCCCCGCATCCTCTCGGATCATGTGGAGATTCTGGAAGTTGGGAGGTGAGCTGCTACGCTGGTGGGACTGGGGGTAGTTTTGCAGGAGGTGGGTGTAGGTCTGAGTGGGGGACTCGGAACGCTGAGATGGTGGAAGGACAGAGGACAATGTCGGGGGTGAGGTTCGGCTGAACGGGGAGGAGGCACTCGATGTCTGGATCTGCTGTAGGTGCAGTCGCTGAAGGTGCTGATACAGGTTGCCTGGCAACACATCTGATGTGACTTGTTGCCGTTGGAAACTGGGAGATGCAGGGAGAGGTGGGGAAGGCACGGGAGATCTCTGCAGAGTGGATGTTGTCTGAAACAGAGAGGCATCACCAACATCAATACTCGACGGCTGCAACGTACAAACTAGTCCGTCGCAAAATATCACAGAAAAGTTATTTTTGGCAAATTGAGGTGAAAGTTACTGGTATCGTTTTGAGATAAAGAATTGCACAATCATACATTTCAAATTTAAAAAAAAGCCTCACATCACTTCTTACTATTACAGAAACACATGGCTACATTTTACAGAACAGCTGATACAGGCTCAGATGTGACAGTGACAAAGAGCACTTCAGAGCAGGTACAAACAGACATGTCAGCCATATTGGACATCCAATACTCAGTTGTCTGGCTCATGTCCAGCACACACATTTCAGCGATACTGCACACCCAAAGAATAAAATAACTAGCTTAAAAAATTATCACTATTTTATTGTGACCTAGAAAAGACAGAAGATATATTAATACAAGACAAGAAAATCACTCAAGAGACACAAGAGAAGACTGTCATGTAATCAGACCAGAGAGAAGACTGTTATGTAATCAAGACACAGACACACAGACTGTCACACAAGACACACAGACTGTCACACAAGACACATAGAATGTCACACAAGACATAGAATGTCACACAAGACACAAAGACTGTCACACAAGACACACAGACTGTCACACAAGACACAGACAATGTCACACAAGACACACAGACTGTCACACAAGACACAGACACTGTCACACAAGACATAGACAGTCACAAAAGACATGTAGACTGTCACACAAGACACATACTGTCACACAAGACACATACTGTCACACAAGACATACAGACTGTCACACAAGACACATACTGTCACACAAGACATACAGACTGTCACACAAGACACACAGACTGTCACACAAGACACACAGACTGTCACACAAGACAAAGACAGTCACACAAAAAGACACATATACACACTAAGACTCTGTCACACAAAGACACAGACTGTCACACAAGACACACAGACTGTCACACATGACACACAGACTGTCACACAAGACACAAGAAAGGACTGTCACACTAGAATAGCTTGAAGATGATGTATAGGTAGTCTACGCTGGAAGGAATGTTAGGGTAAAAGCAGGACAAGTTATGGGGGAAACTAGACTCAAGTTGGGCTGGAAGCTGTCAAATCTGTATCATGTCCGTCAGCACAGAATAACTGTGATGTCATGACTACTACAAGGGAAATTTCACTTATCTCATCAGATACATCCCTGCTACTTATCTTCTGTCTAAAACCTTTCCATCAGAGGCAGCCCCATCCCCAACCTGTCATCAATGTTCCAAAACCTTCCCATCACCAACTTTAAAGGGCCACTGATCCAGAGCAATTTCCGTGGATTGGTTGTTGCTTTTGTTAATTTTTTTTTTCCCGTGAGTACCTGGACAATATCCCAGAATTCTTGACTGGTTCTTGACCTCTGCTGCTCGCCACCCGCATGTGCAATTGATAGTATAAGTATACGATCGAAAAATACTCTCTCACATAGACTGATCAACAAGATGAAATCTTTTTTACTCGATAATCTTTCCATCTTCATTAGTATGACAAATGAAAACATTTTGAAATTTAACCATCTGCCAGTGGTAAAAAATGTTAGGACTGAAAAATAAGTCAATGTGCATCTTTATATTTTGTCTTATAATCCTAATTAGTTTATTATCATATTTGTATGCATTTTGAAACTTAATAAACAGCACACGATCTGCTTATACTTATAGTGAGTTTATAGCATGACTGTAATATCTAGACATTTTATAGATTGCCAACGTGAATCATATTTCACAAACACGCCCTAAGAGCGACCTATTGTATGTTGTCTGTCTCATTACACTTCACGGCGAAAAAATGATTCTGTTGAATCTGATGATTCTGTTCAAATGAATAAAAACAAAATGCAAATATCATAAAATTAAAACAGATTAAAGTTATAGCAGCAATATCAGGCTATGACCTTGTTCGAGGATTGTATCCATCAATATGCATATGCCAAAGGGAACGACAAAGAATCCTGTTCCAGGTCATGTGTCTTTTAACAGTGTAATATGTGAAAAGTGATATATCGTTATAACCAGTGGTAGTTTCTCAGCTGGTCATATGACATTTTCAGGTTTTTCACCTTGGTGTACAGCCCCATGGGTCACCCGAGATAGTACACCAGCAACTAATTGCATGATGTCCGCCATTCTTTAAAAAAGGAATTTAGTTAGCCAATAATGAGCAATCAGTCAAGGTATCGGCGGTTAATCCTTTGAAGAAAGGATGCTGTTTTTACACAGGCACTTTACAACAGGGTGTATTCAGTATAGATTAGTAAATCTACATATATAAACACTACCTTTTGACAAATCCACTGTGCAAGATAAGAGTACCGTATATTACCGTCTATAAGCCGACTCCATAGATAAGCCGACCCCCAAACTTAACCCTTAAAATCAGTGTCAAAATGGTATGTTTTGTACATAAAATGATCCCCTGCAATGGGGTCCTAATCCTCTGGCAAACACACACACCACAGACAACTGGCAGTTACCGATAATTATAACTTTGGTCCACAATATTAAAAAAATTCACAATTATATTGCGTCTACTCACACATCGAAATGAAGTGTAGTTGACAGAAAATGGATCATATATTTTGTTTCGCTAAATATCATACTTATTGTAGCTGGACGATCACATGTCAACAAACTGGCTTGCTTATTTTACCCCATTCCATGTGCGTACAACTTCCGCTTACCATGTTCATGAGGGTACGTTTTTTCTCCAACCGCGATAGCCAATTTCACATCACATTATCAACAATCACGAACTGATTACTGCCTCGTTTTCCATGGACTGCTAGTTTACAGTAACATCGGTAAAAATGTGTGAATTTAATTGGCTTGCTTATTTTACCCCATTCCATGTAATGGTACAACTTCCGCTTACCACATTCATGAGGGTCCGTGATATACGTATATTACCGTAGATATTTCTAATTTGAGGACCAAAAAAGCAGTCTCTAGAGGGGATCGGAAGGCTTATCTATGAGATATAATTTCTTGAAAGTATTTTTCAGGTCGTCAGTGCCCTGTCAGGACGATCTGAAAGGTTAGCGGTACAGCAGTGGAAGTTCACGCATTGATTACAGCCACTTTCTTATACATGATAAATAAAATACATATTAAAGTACATACATTTTGTTGTTATTTCAAAATTTTGGCCCTTAGTCATTATTAAGTTTCCGCACCTACCTATTTACACACAATAAATCCACAAATAAAAATGTAATTTTAGAGTAAAATTGATATTTTATGCTTATCCTGACTCATGCTCTTTTTTTGCTTGTCTTCTTCTTTAACATAGTGGAACACTTGTATCTCCCTAATTGAAGCTCCCTTCAATGTAAAATCACTAATTAGTACTCACCACGAAGTTACCTCCCTTCCACAAGCTGAACTGAGGGCCACCTCCACCCATGTGCCTCTCTCTCTCCTCATATACTGAGGCCCAACATTTGAATTTACAGGGAAATCCAAAGTGTTATGTGGGGAGGATGGGAGGGCACTTACCTCATGAGTCAGGATAAGTATAAAATATCAATTTTACTCTAAAAATTACATATTTTTCCTTATCCTGACTCATGCTCTTTTGCTTGTAGAATCCTAATGGAAAGGAGGTGGGAATATATAATACTTTGGATTTTAATAATTAGTGATTTGAACTGTGATGATTGTAATAACCCTATGGGAACTTCATAAAGGCACTGAACTGATGAATTCTGCTGCTAACTTATCAGCTGCCATATAAAGGTTAAGACTAATAGACTTAAGCTTGTTAATATGCTAGTATAAACTCCTTAGAGTGTGTTAGCTAAAAATATTTTAAGATATAAACATAGTACTCAAGCTTAAGATATGATAAAACTTAAGCTAATTATATAATAGCAAAACTCTTTAGAGTTTGTTAGCTAATATACTTATATGATATAGACATAGTGCTGAGCTTAAGATATGAATAAGCTTTAGCTACATATATAATAGCAAAACTCTGTAGAGTTTGTTAGCTAATATATTTTTTACAATATGAGTATAGTACTGTGCTTAAGCTATAATTAACTTAAGCTACATATATAATAGCCAAAACTCTGTAGAGTTTATTAGCTAATAGATTTATAATGTAACCATAGTACTAAGCTTAAGATATGATTAGACTTAAGCTAAATGTATATAGCAAAACTCCTTAGAGTTTATTAACTAATATACTTTTTTATGTTATAAACATAGTACTGAGCTTAAGATATGATTAAACTTAAGCTATATATATAAAAGCAAACTCCATTAGAGTTTGTTAGCTAATACATTTTATAATGTAACCATACTGCTTAAGATATGATGATGAAACTTAAGCTAATTATATAATAGCAAAACCCTTTAGAGTTTGTTAGCTAATATACTTATATGATATAAACCTAGTATTGAGCTTAAGATATGAAGGAAAACCTTAAGCTAAATATATAATAGCAAAAACCTTTTAGAGATTTTGTTAGCTAATATACTTATATGATATAAACATAGTATTGAGCTTAAGATATGAAGGAACCTTAAGCTACATATATAATAGCAAAACTCCGTAGAGTTTGTTAGCTAATACATGTTATAATGTAACCATAAAGCTTAAATATGATGAAACTTAGCGTCGTTGACTAATTAATACAGCGGCGTTCTGTGTTGTAAATAGCCTGTGCAATTGTCTTAGCGTAGTCTTATAGGCGGCATCTGGCATACAGTTGATAGACAACTTATCGCGATGTCTTGAACGGACTGACAGTAGCTATATATGACGAAAGTGGCTAGTATATGGAGACCTTGGAGGAGACTTCACCGGTGAACGCCGGAGACTTAGCGAAGCTCTCGAAGTATCCCTTCTAGATCTTCTGGGTGAAGTAGACTTGGAGCCACTTAGCCTTCGCGACCTTCGCGAAGGTATCGAGTCAAAGCCCGAT